GCGTCGTTAGCTCTTGCTAAATTCATGTTGGTCAGGTAAGTTCATGGCTAAACTCTAATCAATCATATCCCGTAGTTCTACGCCAAATTTGTTTCCCCCCATCCCCCCGAAAACAAACATCCATTTGTTCTTTCGTAAGTAAAACAAGGCGGTCATGTCGACTGATAGTTTCGCATCGCAGTGTGCTATACTTCCTAATTTTCAGTTCTTTTAAGTCTTTCAAAACAAGAGAAAATAAAAGCCAGTAAGTTTCATTTCTAAAAACTGTTTTACCAGTTCTTGATTTATCAGATATGAAATTGGGAAAAAATACTGGTCGCCAAAGGAAAAGTTAAAAAGTGACATGTTTGAATCGCTTCTTATTCATATAGATTTTTGCAAAACTGTCTCTGTGAGGATAAATATTCATCATAATTAACAGCACAGTAGGTCTGTCAGCTTGGATTCTCTGTACATTGCTGTGGAAGCGTACTTTGTCTTGCATTAGCTGTATGTTGCAGCCACGAGGTTTCATTTTTCCAAACTATCAACTAATTTTTTATGTTTTTACTTGTTTCAGCTCTGAGTTTTGCGAAGAGCATCTCCAACTTCTGTTCACGATTCTAGAAAAGGTAATTTTGCTTTGTTTAGTACGTCATGTACATACTCATATCTTGCAGTAAACAATTGACGAGGTGACTAACAGCTTTGGTAAAACTGCTGAATCAAAGCAAAAAAATTCATTTTTTTCTAAACCTGTTTAAGAACCTGTTTTCTTTTGTGTGCCTTTTAGGCTCCACAAGCCACTATCAGAGCAAACACCATAGTTGCCGTTGGTGACCTGACGTTTAGGTTTCCTAACCTGATTGAGCCATGGACACCTCATCTGTACGCCAGGTGACAAAACCCCTCATGTTACTAACCCTTTACACACTAACATCAGTATGCATGTTCTCCATGCCGTTCTATATACGTTTCCAAGGGTGTGGACAAGGAGAATTTGTTTAATAATCAAGAGCTACTTTAGCTTGCGATCTTGCAAGTCACTCTCAGGGGTTTAAGGGTAGAAACTTCACCTAAATGACATGCATTTCCTAAAAAGCAATTTTAATAGCGTTTAGTAGTCACCCACTTTTCTATCTGAAAAATTTCACGAATACTTTACGATTATCGAAGTGAAGACTACAAAATATCGATGAAAAACTGTTGAAACGGTTAAGAAACCAACCATTATTCGGTTGCCTTTCCCGTGCCATTAAGGGGGGAAAATTCATTCGAGCCTTAAGAAGCCAACCGTGACAACTTTTTTTTCGGTACATTGTAGATTGCGCGATGAGTCTAGCCACGTGCGTAAGAACACGCTGATGGTGCTCACGCATCTAATTCTGAATGACATGGTCAAGGTCAAAGGTCAGATCAGTGAGATGGCCACGTGTTTAGAGGACAAAGACAGTAGAATATCCGATCTGGCCAAACTGTTCTTTTTGGAATTGTCCAAAAAGGTAAGATTCTTTCAATTTGAGGTTACTCCTATTTAACTTTAAGCTCTACTTGCCCCAATACAAGCAATAGCGTTATACATACTAATCTGACAATCAACTTTGAAAGCTTTAGAACTCAAGACTAGCCCGAGCAGCCATTTATCATTTCCTTTACTTAAAATCACTGAGTTGAGACATGGCACACAAATATCATGAATGAGATCGTGATACCCGCTAATTTCACCACATCTCTCACTCATGAAGTGACTTTAAGATGCACACGCTTCCATTTCACACTTATAAGCTAATACGCAGCAAGTATTTCTCACAGTATAACCACAGGGTTTGTAAGGGTTCTGGAAAATCTGGAAAGGCCTAGAGTTTTATCCTGACATTTTCCAGGACTGGAAATACCTGGGAAACGACCACAGGTCCTGGAAAGTCCTGGAAATCTGCGCCATTCAAGAAATACAGAGAAAGATGTTTTTCGTCTTGTCACGAGCGTGGGACAAAGTGAAAATTTCTGAGTTCCCGTGAGGAATCGAATCGGGGGGCTCAGAAATTTTTTCTTTGTCCCACGCTCGTGACAAGACGAAAAGCATCTTTCTATATTTCTTTACCGCGCTCAAAACTTCCCATCTCTCTTATTCTATTTTCAAGCAATGCAGCTTTCAGAATTTGTTAGAAATGTGTGTAGACCATATGGAGAACTAATTTTGAAATCTTGGGAATGAACGGGTTGAAGGTGAAATTTGGAGTCCTGGAAAAATCGATCTAGATCCTGGAAAGGTCCTTTAAATTTTGTTTTTGAAAAAAGGTACGAAACCTGTAATCAGGCTAATGTTCACTTTAGGGCAACGCTATCTACAATATTCTACCAGACGTGATTAGTCGTTTATCAGACCCCGACTGTGGTACTGAAGAGGAACCCTTCAGAAACATTATGAGGTATGAAGATTTACAGGATGAATTTGTGTAATAATTTGCTTTGCGGCCGTAATAATCGTTATTGCATATTGAAATATAAATCATAAGATAGATCAGACCATCTTCGCTCCTACCGGGGAACCTTAGGCGTCGAACGTGGATCTTCACCGGAAAATGTTTTCGCGGTTCTTTTCACCCCTCCCCAGGTGGTGATATTCTTGTCAAGCTCATCTTGGACAGTGCATCTCTTTACCCTATTCAAACTTTTTTTTCTTTTTTTATTGTATCACAGGTACTTGTTGTCCTTTATCCAGAAAGATCGTCAGTCTGAGAGCCTTGTGGAGAAACTGTGTCACAGATTCAGAGCAACTAAGTAAGTACGCTGTTTGCATTGCACAGAAAACTTAACAGCCATTTGAACCAAACACGTAAGTAGTGGTATGAAAACAAAGGCATCCCTATGAACAACTAGTAACCTTGGAAGTAAAACCAAGTTGACGTAGAAAAAGATCTTTAAAATCTTAAGAATAAACCGAAACGATCAGGGAAATGTTCTTTCACTAACCACTAAGAGAGAGAGTATGTTGCATGACGAGACCAAAAAGGTGATTGATAGGAAACCAAATCAGATGAACCGACAAAGTCTAAACGTCCAATCATGATGTGTAATCAAACAGGGGTTACGTAGACTCGGAACCTCAGATACACCTTAGTTTATCGGATAGTTTTTAAGAACCTGTCTGTATTTTAACAACCATACTCGTAGCATTTTTCCCTGTCGTGTATCGTGCAATTCTGAGCTGTTTGGAGACAAAAACTACACCATCCTCTTTTCTTGATAGCACCTTTCCCTTTGCATCTTCTTTCCAATCAGGACCGATCGTCAGTGGCGTGACCTCGCTTTCTGTCTGTCCATGCTTTCGTACAACGAACGAGGAATCCGCAAGTTGCAGGAGAACTTCTCTTGCTTCCACGATAAACTGGCCGAGGAAGATGTGTACCACTCCTTCCTGAACATTGTTGGGAAAAGCAAGAAGTTTGCCAAACCAGAAGTGAAGGTAAGGAAAGCGTCAGTACAGAGCCTCACCCCAGCTCTACTCTAATTGTCTCGCAAAAAATGAATCCAAGGGAATTCTGAACGCAAAGAAGATTATGTTGTGATATTGCATCGGTTTTGCTTTTCTTCACGTCGTGATTAGTCGGAAAAAGTCGCGGAATCCTCTCACCCAAATAGTTGTAAAATTTATGCCAGTGGGATTGCAGGTATGTAATCATGGTTTTCATTGGTTCTTTGTGGTATTTTGTTGCTGCTCATTGGCCTTTTTTTTTGGTGTTTTGGCGAGTAATAGAAATACGCTCTTTTAGGAGGACCGTTTTTACGCCTGATGTTGATTTTCCACAACACGTCATCAATCTCTGCAGTCATAGAATGTGTGACTTACTAGACTCTCCACTCAAAGTAAAGCAGTGTACGGTGATAGGAAGAGAGAACTCATCTTTTCAATTCCTTGTCAACAGGCTTTAGTGGATGAATTGGAACAGCGCATTAACTTTTGTCACACAAAGGGAATGGAAGACGAGGAGGACTATGAACGAGCTTCCAAAGCCGTAGGAGCGGCAACGGGAAACAAACCTAAAAAGAGTGCAGCTACCCCTGCAGGTGAGCGTTTTTTGTTTTGTTTTGTTTTGTTTTGTTTTGTTTTTTTTTTAAATAGCTCAACTTGCTGTTAGTTTGCTGTATGTGATACACCGGCGTGAGATTCTTTCTTTTTTTTGCAATCAAAACGATCGCAAAAGGTAAGTACACAAAGAATATCTACAAATCTTTTCGCGAATTCGGAAGTATTACATAAACGAAGTTGTAATTTTTTAGCGAAGACAAGCCGAGGCCCTAAAGGTCGCACTCCAGGTACCAAAAAACGGCAACCAAAAACTGTCGACGACAGTGACGCTGAAGATCCGAGTCCCATGCCCTTCAAGACCCCTCGCAGTGTTGCTCGACCACCGAAGGCTGGAAAAGAAAAATCTACCAATCAGAAACGGCGAAAGATGCCTTCGTTTGAAAGCGACGAGGACGATAGCATAGAGTTATTTGACGTCGGCGAAGAGGAAGAGGATTGCCAGAGAGGAATTGATTGGAATGACGAGGAAAATGTCAATCCAAATGTAACGAGTAAAAATAAAGCAAATGACGTCATATCGAAGAAGGGAAGAATCAACTCGCAAAGAAAATCAAACCGAAGGCGTGTTAGTAGCACGTGACAAGCTTACTTGTCAAACCGGCTGTAAATACGTATGGTTTATCTAATTATTCTTGAGTGATTTCAATAGCCCGAAATGTAAATTAAGGGACTGTTTTAACTTACTGTGTGAATCAGTTTTAGCAGCATCGAACTCGTAGCTTTATGGTATTGTTTTGGGGGAAAATCAACTCAGAATACAATGAATCTTTTATCGACAAGGGGCTCTGTGATAACTAAGAGAAATAAAGATATTTTAAACTTATGAAAAGGAGCTTGTTCATCGTTTTTTAGAGAATATAGAGTTGTTGGTGTAAGTTTGATTTCGTGTTACTCATTTTTTAGTGAATTATACTTAAAAGTTTCGTGAGACTTTTATTTTCCATTATACGTTAAAGCCTGTACATAAACATTTTTTCTAATTTCTAGCAATAAAAGACTTAAGTATATTATGTCTGTTATTTCTTATGTCATTATTTTGCTGAGGTCAGCTCATTTATGCTTTTTCACCTAAAGCAGAGGAAAAGTGTCTTTAAGCCTGTTTAAGGCGCAGCATAGAAACTTAAGCATTGTCACGATCTGGTTGTAACTTTCGTTTGAAGTCCTCAATCAATGAGTTACACAGGCAGGTCCCATGGATCTTTATTCTGCGTCATCATCAGTACGAGTCTCCAATCTGACTATTATGGGCTCTGTTAACTCTAAATTGTCAGTTGTACGAATGATAAGGCAATACCAACATTTGCCCCCAGTACTTCTGCAATCCAGAGTAACTGCGACACTATGGGGCATGTGTCGTTTCGCTGTACCCTGATCAGTGACTGACAACTTGATGCCATGGTAACGGACAGAAAACTATTTGTGAAAGCTAACATGAAGAAGAAACCTATCATGAACAAATTGTTATAGACTAAGAAAGGAGAACGAGTGAAAATCACGGCACAGATGATAAAACCAAGGCGAAGAATTGACGCTGATAAATATAGGAACATCTTAACGTCGTTGTCGAGTTTTAGCTGTACATTGTAGCAGAGACGAGATAGAACTTCTCCAAAAAAATGACCAGCTCTGAAAAATGCGATCAAAACTGTAGCCAGATAGACTCTCCAGAAAGGTTCAGTGTTTGATTGTGGACTTTCGAAGGTCGCTTCATGAATAGACGGTGCTAAAGACAGCACAAAGTAACTTGTAAATGAGAGCGTAAACTCCACAAGTAAATACCACTTTACTGTGTGGTACCGTCTTTTAGCTGTTTCTGGGACAGATCCTAATGTTATATTCTTAGGACTGTGAGCAATGCAGTCACGAGCCGCAAATAGTTCATATATCCCACTTTTACGTAGCTTTAAGAATGATACCAGTCCTGTTATGATTCCAAGGAACACGACACCAAACAACGCGTAAAGACAAAGTGTGGTTGAGTCAGTCAGCTTTGGTTCGGTGAAGTTTATTCCAAGGTAAAGACACAGTATTAGTTGAACCACTGCTGGTAATAAAGAACCAAGACCTGGAAAAGGAAATCAAAGTTAAGAATATAGGCGATCCTTGCAGTTATGAACACTACTGAACTAGTAGTTGAAATAAGGCCTGAAAAAAATTCAGGCCCGTACGAGATTTGAACCCATGACCTTCGCGATACCAGTGCAGCACTCTACCAACTGAGCTAACAAGCCAACTGGGTCCAAATAAACCTTCCAAGTGGTGAATAATATCAATAAATATAAGAAAATCATATATGTGCGCTGCAGTTGAAGAAACAAATATGATTTCGATACTCAATTGAAAGTTGCTCTATTACAGAATCAAAGCTTTGATTACATATATTTTAAAATTCAGTATAGACATGCTCATAGGAAATTTAATTGTTGACATGGTGTTTTTAGTGGTTTGCTAATGCTGATGTAAATGTAGAGCAAAAATTCACTCCTCGCGAGTATGGTTGTCGGATTTGCCCAGTCTTTTTTCTATGTGTAATGAAATATTTGGCTGTCTCGAATTTTGAGCGTATTCTGCCAGCGCGGTTGAAAAGAAATTTAACAAACCTTACTCAAAGATCAGTTAGTTCGGCCTGTACCGGTGTTTTCGCATCTCGCTTAAAACGAAGGAATTCTTTTTTTAAGGACAGGAAGATCTTACAGATGATTCTGATGACCGGCAAGCACTTAAAATTCCACCTCCATAGTCTCTATACTGTCGTTCAAGTTATTCTCCCATTTCAAATTTGCCACCTACCTTCACCATAGCGAACCAGCAAGCTGCTTTTCCCGCCAGGAAACAACACAACCATACGATTGACTAATGATTGGCTGAGACCTGCACAGAGACCATTGATTGTTATTACACCATATATAACAAAGATTGACAGCGAAATCCCAGCTGCCGTAAGAGACGGGAGTACGGCCACAGAGGCAGCCATCAAAACTAGGCAGATGGGAACAGTCGGGAGGAATGGTACCCAGTGTTTCTTACCGCACAGTGTAAACAAAATGGAGGCTAGAAACGGAATGTGAAGACAAATTCCTGAAGAAATAAAAAGCAAAACAATTTACTCACTGTAGTGAAAAATTCCCAAGTCCTTACGTGGTTGATTACGTAAAAATGCGAAAAAGGAAATGGTTCACGCAACAAATAGTCGTATATTTCAGAGGTACTTGTCGTTTGTGGCTTTTTTTCCTAGTACAAAAAATAAAATTGACTTTATTAGCGCCCAGGAATTGATTTTAGAATCGCCTCTCAAACACCTCAATGATAATTGTTTATTTTTGCAATTCTCTGTTTCTTTTTCCTGTTGATTTGCTTTCGTCTTCTCTGATGAGAAATCTAAAACAGATGAAACTGTTTGTAACTTGTTAGGTGTTATGTATGGCTATTTAATTTAAGGATCCATACTTATACCTCAATATAATTCGTGGTTTGTTTGTTTGAAAAAAATATTGTTTCTGCTTCGACAATATGATAATATTCTTCCGTTTTTGAGTACATATTATTGTCACATTTCTAAAAGTTATGCTGAAGTTTAGCGTCAATTCTTTGTTTCCTTTTCTACGTTTTGTTTACTTTAAGCTGCCAATAAAGGGAGTGAATGAAATTTATCTTTAAATGCTAATTTCGCTCACTAGAACCGAATTACCGACTAACAACTTATGAAAAATGTTAGTGAATTGCAAAAACGTCAGAACTGTCCTTCAACCTTGTCGCATAAACGTCACTGATATTTTGTCTCAGCTTGAGTTATATTACGGCGTACGTTTCAGAAAAAAGGGTTTGCTAAACAAAAGCCTCATAGCGTGAACAGTGTTAAAAAGCTTACGTTAAATTACTCAATGAGAAACCCTTAGACAGGAATTAAGAAAATCCCGTAAAGACGACATCTACATAATGATAATTTGATCACGATATTAGTGTGTTTGACGCCTATAGGGCTAGCAGATGTGATGTGTGAATTGCCTCACACATCTGAAACTGCTGTTGTCACATAAACAAAGCATTTGTGGATTATTTATAGAAATACAAAGACTTCAGCGAGGCCCATTTCAATCAATTTTCGTAATATCAAATCGTCTGAACTTGTACAGTTTATTTTAAAAGGTGAATGAGCCTAAAGACAAATTTTTCTAATTTGGAGAAAATTCAAACAGCGCGTGTTTGGTAAATTCCCACAAGCGGAATCGGGCAGATTTCCTGCTGTTTTCACGTATGTTTACCTGTGAAAAATTAAACAAATCAAATATGAAAGAACGAAGAACTACCCATACATAATTAAACTTTTTTTTCTGATTTTTTGAACAACTTACCTATTTCTGACAAACCTTGCTTTCCGAGGAATGAAAGGAAAAACGCAATACTCATGTAAAACGCGTTCGCTGCTAACACGGTAGCTGCACCAATAGAGAGCAAGTAAAATTTTTGTGGTGTTGAAAAATGAACATAGGTTGGCAGCCTTTTGTAGGGTGTCAGCGAAATTCGCGAATTCTTGTCATTGAAGGACTCCCGCACCACTAAGTCATCAGAGCTTAAATTCAAATACGCTGGTTGATCGGAAATGTTTGTAGAACACTCGGAACTTTTGCTTCGGAAACTTCCGTCCGTGTTTGGTTGTTCCGGCGGTTTTGATAGCGTTTCTGTATCTTTTCCGTCATTTGAAATATATTTCATTTCAGCTCCATCAAACAAGATAAATCCAGCGTTTAATTTTCCTGGTTGTCTTGTTGCAGTAGCTTGGTTCGGAGGTTCCAGCAACATCACATCATTGTTCTCTAATTTCTTGTCATGTCTCCCCAGCTCCTTGCTAGACTGGATGTTCTCATCTACAGCGTTCGTTTCGTGATATCGTATGCTTTCATCCAGACTGTTCAGTGCTTCAAATTCCAAACTCGATAGCGTAGTAAAAGACAGGTTCTTGAACGGTTCGTTTGGGGACGAAATTTCGGTTCCATGTTGGTGAAACTCCATCGCTGAACAGGAAGGCGGACTCATGGACTCAAAAGACGCTAAAATGTGGTGTAACTTGCCACTGAACGAAGGACATTAAATGTCAAACGCTGCCGTGCTCTCAGTGGTCGTTGCCACCGAGGACAACTGTCGACTGTCGAAAGATTCACTTAAATATTGCAGCTAAAAAGTGAGACATGACTTAACATGACAATGTCATCTTTTGTGAGGAGGATGACTGACAGGATCAGAGATGTTAAATACAATTTGAATACACCAAAGATCTATTTGAGGACTAATCAACTCTTCAAAAGACGAGTAGTTGTTTTTCCCGGTCCGGTTATGAAGAACCTGTGACTTTTTAATTAGAGTACAACCGCACTTCATAACACAGAGTTAGTCATGCATTTTGCCGCTCGAAAAAGCGAATATGTGCATTTCGTTTACACGCCATCAATGTAAATTCAACCACTCGCTTACTTAGCAATTAAAAGTTATTGTTTTCATTGAATTCCGCGGTTACAGAATATTTAATAGCTACAAACCGTGTAATACGAGCCAAATTAGATACATTTAGGCATTATCATTGATTCTTTGTGAAACCCATCCACTAAATGTACTTCGTAATTTTTCGTGTCAGCATTATCTCTTGAAGCCAACCAAAATCTCCTAAAACAAATGTTGTCATTTCACAGAATGATAACCTCATAACAAGGTGCCAGCTTGTACTAATTAGTTGATGACGTAAGAGACAAAATTACTGCAACATCATTCTCGTTCCCAGAGTCTCTAAACCTTCTAGTTACCAGATCCACGAGAAGGGCTCTGGTGACGAATAGTCGCATTGATTCCCAACCAAAACGATACCCTCCTTGTTTTGCTGGAGCGAAGCCACGTAGAAAAGAAGATAAAAACTGAATCATTTACTTTTTCAGTCTAATGCCCCAATATCACCAGCACAACATTTAGACAATCCGGTTTTAACTGAATGAAAATCAGAAACAGAACTGAATTTTCCATAGGTTTCAAGTCGTCTCTTACTTGAAGTAGACAAACATCAGTTTATGGTTACTTCCCACCTTCACAAACTGAAAAAATAGTCTTTTCTTCTGTAAGACTGAATCGCTGACTCTAAACATTTTACCCAACGTTTCCAACGAAAAAAGTTTTAAACTCTCCAAAAGCACCCGAGTTATTTAGAAAAACGTAATTTCAAGTAAAAGTTAATAAATCAGGAAGGTATCATAATCTCGTACCTGAGCGAGTCCCCTGGGGAAATTTTCGCGGTAACCACTCATCTTGGGACTCGTTATTCATGAAGAAAGAGCACCATTCTGTCAAGAAAAGAAAAAAAACCTTGGTGAAAGCGACTGGTAATGGCGGAGCTCCACTCTGGCGTCCAGATTTCGAACAAGGAAGTCGCATCAAAACAAAATTTGTCATACATTAAACGAGGTTCCCTTTTGCTCATGCAGTACTAGCCTTGTTACATAAATAATAGATAGATTTAGCCAAGCCTAAAAGTGGAGCTCTTGTTAATGTATTTTCCAGCCCCTCATTATTCTGAATAAAAACTGTAATAAAACTCTTCAACACTGGCTGTAGAACAGTTTCTTCAAGGGGATTTAAGGACCAGTCCGAGGGGTAGGGAGGGGGGGGGGAAGAATTGACGAGGTCTGAAACCTGGGGACGATGTTCTCACAACTGGCAAAGCGATCAACACGCATGCTAGTCAGCGTTATCTTAAAACCGCTTAGGACCTTCGTTGTTTATCCTGATGTTTTGGAAAATTTGCGGCAGATACACCATGTTAGAAATGCCATGTTCATAATAAGCTAACAGGATTGAGGAGGGTGTGTATGGGAATAGGCTTTCTTGTCTGTTTCATTAATTTGCTAATCGCTCATGTTGGCAATGTTTTGATAAGGTTGGGCTGTCAGGGCAAAGGAACTGAAGATTTTAGTAGGCAGCGACTTTTTTCCAGCCTGGAAACTATCGTCGTGAAAGCCATACTTGTGACTGATAACTCATTCTCATTCTGATAAACTAGTTTTAAGAAGGATACAATATTTTAATACATAAATTTGATGCACAGGCTGTGCACAAAACTCAAATTTGACCATACTTTTATAGCCAATACCAATCCCTATGCATAATAAAAATTTAGTAGGATCAGAGGAAAAAATAATGTGCCCTACATCTGCAAGATTTCATGTAATTATTTTAATTACATGAATATTAACTGACACTAGGAGGTCTAAGAATAATCAAAATAAATTTGGTTGAAAAATTAGAATTCAGCATAGGTTGGATAATCAAGATTCTTAGAAAAAGAAATGTTGACTAATGAAAAAGCTAAGCATACTTTTTTACAACACCTGCCTGAACCTGTACCGCACGTAGTTAAGTCATAATCGCGGTTTCATACGTTGAAAACACAAGCACATGCAGATTTTCTAAAAACCTGTAGTTCAAGCCCGTGATGACTTCGAAATTTTGACGCACACCTCAAAAGGAGAACAAATAAATTTCAAGTTTTTGTTCATTCAGTTTAGGTTAGTGAGATAAAATTGAGTCAAACATTCATACGACGACAGGTTCAAGAAATTTTCACATCTAATTTATAAAGTTAGCCTTCCTGGAACAATCAACTTCATGTACGAATTATACCAGGTTTGTACTGATAATGCACAAAACAACTATCTGTGTTAAGGGGACAGGCTTTCCTTTCTTCATTTAGAGGAATACTTAGGTTATCATCTATCCACAAACTCAGTGGAAGTGAGAGTGAATGAGACTGATAATGACTATGTTATTTGAATAAATATCCAGAGGAGAATAAAAGGTAAGATATAGTCTGCACAACTTTCTAATTAAAAATTTTTTCACCCATAAAGCTAATGAATTCATATTCTTGCTTTATGCATAATGTGGACGCCAATTAATTTAACTTTCATGCATCAAAATACAAAAAATGTTCTCTTCATCTACATGCCATAAACATTACAGGGAAGGAGGCAGGTCAAAGTAAAAACATTAATTAAAATAGGAGGACTCTCATTAATTTCAGTCTTAATCAAAGGAGGATCCTTGCTTTTCCAGATTTTCACCCTTTAAAACTCACATATCTTGCACTCAATTCCTTATATCAATGTCTAGTTCTGGTATGAGCATCGTTAAGAAACACCTTGTATTAATGATTAAATTTTATTTGATCAAAAACATGAAGGGCAATAGAGGAAATTAGCAAGCACAATTCAAGTTTCCCTTCGTAAGTATTCTGTGATGTTTTTTCTATCATATGGTAAAGTTTACAGTTTCCCTCACTTCACTGTCTTCTGTTTACTTGTTTGTTTGCTTTCCCAACAATCTTAACTATTATGGGCAACAAATGCAAGGAGCATATAAAATGTGTACAGTTATAAACCCTTTAATCCCCGAGAGTGACCAGCATCAAATTTCTCCTTTCGATATCACCCCTGAATCCAACATTATTGTCATGAGAATAATGGAAATGATAATCAACTGAAGAGACTCTTGATTGTTAAACAAATTCTCCCTGCCAGCACATTAGGAAGTGTATAGCAAACAGTGTGGAGAATATGCATACTGATGTTAGGGTGCAAAGGATTAAAGACATCATGTAGTCAGTTTTATATATGTAGAGTATTGCATGAATATATGATTACGGTAGGTGCAAGTGCGTAGTAATCATTATGCTATGGTACTTCTACTCCTCCACATCAGAGGGTGCCTTGTGCACATAAAAATTGAAAGTCAGTGCCCTTAGTGGCTTTTCCAGCTACAAAGATCAACAAAGAACAACAGACACACCAAGAAATCCTTTTAAAGACACCTCTACGATGGTCACACAACTGACATGTATGAGTGAAACATTTCAAGCATTAAAGTATGATTGTCAATTTGCTTTTCATTACTTGCAAACAGATTACTTTGATCAGCTTTGTATCCCCACTTTCAAACAAAAGCATTTCCCACGAGAATTAAAACATTAAAGACATAAGCTACCAGCAACAGGTTCTTCCATTGTAAGCGTTTCATAACATCAGATTCTCATCACATTTTTCTGTTACATTTGGAAGCCTAAGAATATTTAAATAATTACAATATAATGAAATTCCCAATTTTAACCCTCTAAGTCCCAATAGTGACCTAGAAATAATTTATCCTTACACTATTAATATGATATTAAACAGACAAGTAATGAGAATAAAGAAAAATATATTCACTAGGAGATTGTTGGTTAATCTAATTCCAAATTCTCCAAATTCTTTAATCTCGTCAATTTCTTCCATCCGCGCCAGAACCAGGTCAAGTTTACGGTTCATCTCGGTTATAGTGTCGGCCATATTGCGACAACTGCCGCAGCGTTCATTATCTTCGGTTTGTGAGCCTGATTCTTTTCTCCTGGCCCTCTCTCGACCTGTCTCGGGAACTTTGTTCCCCGTTTGGTCTGTCATAATTAGTGCTTTTGGCGTCTGGAGAAGTTCTTAAGCCATTTTGAGCGAAAGACTCGCAGACATTGAATGATTTCATATGATTCCATGACTCCACATTTTATGTGGAAAACCAGTCGACAGGTATACCACAGTTTATATACTATCAATGATCTAGTAATACCACTTATGAAATTCGAAACTTAAAGACATGTCAAGAGAACTGAAGTACATTGCAAAAATCATCCTATTAAGTATCCTAAATGTAGGAAATTTACTAACCTTTCCTTTTTTAGTGCAATGCCAGTTAATACCACTTTTGTCAGAATACTTATTTGTGTAGCTGTACCCACGGCTGTCTACAAGGATGTCACCTACCCTTTTAGAGGCATCTTGAACCACTTCAAAGGATAGGGGCTCGAATGTTGGCTGACAGCCCTCAGGTGATGGATCTTCAAAGGTTGCCTATGAAAAAGATAGAATGGATAGAATTAGGATATAATTACATTATATAAGAACATATTTAATTAAGTTATCACTTGTTAAAATAACATAATTACAATAAGTTATTCAGCCCTCATATAACAATATATATGGTGCATTTAATCACTAATATCCCTCAATGCCATATTGCTTAAAAATGTATGGAGTTGTACTAGATTCACCCACCCACAGATCTTATGCTGTCTTCCATGCTGACATCCATTGGCTCCTCTGGTGTTTCTGTGACAAAGAAAATCAGAAATTTAATTAAAGAGACCAGTAAACTACTAATATTGAAAAAAGGAAAAAAAAGGGAAACGTAGCTTAGGATATTATGAGAGGGAAATGTGTCAGTGTTATGTAAACTGCCACTATAATACACTTACCATTGAAATCAACTGGAGTTGCAGGAGGAGAAGCAGAATT